ATTTTAAGCAAATATTACAAACATTTACAAACAATATCAAAGTGACTTTGTCTGATTGAAAGCCAGAATTTTTATCACTTGCAATCTGTTTTAAATTCACTCATTTTATCATTTGTAATTTGATAAAAATACACTCATTTTATCATTTGTAATCTTTTGTCATTTCATTTCATCTTTTATTGTTTGTAATCTCTTATAAATGAACTGTTATAAATGATATGCCTCTCATAAGCAAATTCATTGTTGATGTGATTTTACTGTAATTTTTCAGTCAAATCTTTTTCTGTTGACAGAAATTTAAGTAAATCCACACTTTTTTTTTTCATTTAAGCAAAGAATTTCTACTTGAAACAAATCTCCGCTATTTTTATTACGCTAAGTTTTATTACTGAAATTTTCTACATATCTCTTTACGGCTACCTGTAATATGTTGAACACCTTAAATATTTTATATATATCTATGAATATAGGAAGAGAGTTCGTTTGGTATTTATGCCATTTTAAGAATAAGATCTTGTACGCTGCGCATTTCTATGGTAATAACTTCAGTACGGATATTGTATCTAGTATTTTACTGCTGTTGCTTCACATAGTTATTTGCTTGGGAACTCAAAATTAGTTCCTTAGTTCGCTGTCTGTTTAGTCTATACTTGAAGTCAGACTTGACAGACTTGTTCAATACTTGTTTAAGATTTCAAATACCCTTCATTATTTTGATTCATGCTTTCAGTGGGTGATATATCAGTTAACGAAGACTGACGGCTACACCCGAAACTTGCGGGGTTTGACTGCCGCATAAGGTTGATTGTAAGTATGCGATTTCCTCCTCTTCGCGGGTACAATATTTGACGATAATTTTCAGATGTTACTTTAAGCTTTCGTATGCAAATACACTTTCTTATTAGCAATCAGATGCTCTACGAAAGTTTCCCTAACGCGGTTTTTCAAAGTTAGAAGATTATTGAAATATTTTCTTTTCTATTAAATTCCTTTTTCTTCCTTTCTTTCCATAGTTTTGCTGCCCGGTCGAAAAGGAGTAATTTTTAAAAATTGGTAATGTAAAACTCTTTGTTGAAGTGTAGACTGCAATTTGTCTGAATATTTTTTATTTTCATTTCATTTCTTTATTTCCAGGCACTCTTCGATTGCGCTACCACTACACTGCTTAATAACATGATTCTCAGTAGGCCAATCGTAGTTCAATTAGGCGAAATGCGAAACGCATCACCAGATGGGAAAAGAATCTGCAGTATTGGTAGTAGGAAGAATATCGTCTATCCAGAAAATTGCAAGTAATTTTTCGTTTCTTCTGCGCTGAACTTTTCAAGAAAATCAACAGCTTTTAGTTAGATTTAGATTTTATTCGATATAAATTCAGTTCCTTAAACAGTTTCATGAGTACTTCCAGAATATTTTGGATATCAGTTTAACTGCAAACAGTATTCAAAATAAAAATATAATTTTATATTTCGTGTTGTAATTACAGCTCCTGATTTCGTGTGTTTTTATAGATGCGAAATAAGTGCAGATATAAATAACAGATCTGAGCAAACAAAGCATGCTTGATGATCACAAATTTATAATCTGCAGAAGTTTAAATTTCTCAAATACTATCTTTGAAACTGTGAGAAAAGAAGACATATCTTGGACTTGTATTATCAACTTTTCTTTCAGTTTTAGCCCTAATGGTGCTATTAGTCTCGGAATGGAATTTTTCAGTGCTTCATTACAAGCGGTGTGTCACTTTTTAAATTGCTGCCACCAAATAGTACCGTCCTGTATAATTTTAAACAAATAAAGTAATGAATATTTTTCATATATCTGTGCATGTTCCTTGTTTTATTAAAGCATAACTGTACTTAGAGCCAGCAAATTCTGAATAACATAGTTTTCTAAACGCACATGTGCTACTGTAAGCAAGAACTTAAAGTTCGAATTTGTTTTTCATCATCTATTTCATATTTTGTAAACTTTCATGAATTTTTGGTAAAAAATTCGACGATCTGAAAGTGAGCAGGAACAACAATATTCGAAATAAAACATTTTTATCTCCAGCGTTAAAAACATGTTTCCATTCGGAAAAATATAAAATATATATTTATAAAATATATATTTTTCAATTTTAATTAACAAGCTTGGATCTATGAAAATAATGTGTTGTCAGTGGCGAAAATATAATGCTTTTATCTCCTCCGCGCCAGAGTGTAGCCATTCAGTAAAACTTAAGCTAATTTGAATTTTAAACCGGAATGTTATTCAGTAATAAAATAAGCAATTTAAAAGAAATAAACGCAGTTCTTAAGAACATGTTTCTCTAATTTTCAATGGAACTGATTGAAATATACATGTATTAAAATAATGTGATATCTAAGTAGGAGAATTCATTATTTTTATGAAATTATACTAGCTGCTTCCATTAAAATGTTATATACTTTTCTTTAAGCAGCTGGAAATGGCTAGTTTATAAAGAAATAATATAGCGAATATAAAAATATGTGTGGCAACCTCTAAGACTGTCGGGAATCTAAAGTCATAGCAGTTTTGGAATATTTCGTTATGTTGCTGTTGAATTTATGTAGCATAACTGCAAAGAACGTTATATTTAATAAATAAAGTTATAACACAAAATGTAAATAATAAAAACATTTTTTTCTCAGACATCTTACTAACGAAATTTAATACTGATATGATAAACTGGGAAGCGACTGAAAAAATACAAAAATGTAAAGTGTTTATAAATTTTATTAATTTGTTGTTTAACTGTATGTACCGCACGTTCAAAGAAAACGGTGTTTAATAATAAAGCTAAAAATAAATATACAAGTGCAAGAGCAGAATGGCAAACTACGAGCTAAGGGAGAGCGTGAAAGCCGTAATAAAATCATTGGGCGACCGGTTAAAATCTAAACATTTTAAGTTTTGGTTTTTAATTGTAATGTTATTTTCCCCGAAATTTTTCCTGTTGAAAATAACGATTCAGTTCCAGGCACCGAATTATGTTTCTTATTTTCAGGTATAGGAAGGCTAATAAAAATCCTAACAACTTTATGAAGTCCAATGTGTGAAAAGTGTTCTGTGAATGAATTATATGAATTGTGTTCCTTTTAGATCATAAAAACTGTGCGTTTGTGGTGTATATGGGCTGTACGTTATATGAGGTCATAGGTTTAAATGAAATTTTAAACAGCTTTTCTGTGGAACAATTTAAATTATATTTTTCATGAAACGTTATTTTATTATATATTATTTACTGTAACTCAATCTGAAGTTGTATACATTACACATTGTGCTCATCCATTGTAATCAGAGATTATTTTTAGTGGACTGTGTTGTAATTTCTATTGGTTTCTCATAATCACGCGCTGGCTTAATTCCATTCACATAAATTCGAATTTTTTTAAGTTCATGTAAAATTTCTACTTGCTTGCTAAAATATGACTCTATTCTAATCTACAAATAGAGTAATATTGCAAAACAAAGATAAATGCAACCGGTATTAATATATATTTAATTCCTCGAGGATTTTAAGGCTTCGAGAACCAGAAAAATAAAGTTATAGTATGATCAATTTTCAGCATCACGTGTTTCTAAGGTTTCTTATAAAGGTGAAGTTTTCAAAGTAAACTGATATGTGATGAAACAGAGCATTTAATTAGTTTAACCCTAGAACACTAGTGTACGTAAATTTTACGTGCTGTCATCCTTTATTGGTTCCTTTCTGCCCTTTCCTTTTCACCTATACACTTGTTTGACCTTGAGTGCTTCGAGGGGTCATGTAGTTGGCTGCATGCACGTGGTTTGATTTTTTCGTCTGCGGTTCATTTGTCTCGTTACATGACGTGAATAGCTCAGACGTGAATTTTACGTGTCGCTAGTAATACTCGAAATTTTGAACACGTAAATTTTTCGTGTCATTAGTAATACACGACTTTTTAAATACGTAATTTTAACGTAGTCCTAGTGATAGCGTCTGTTATTTTTAAATTTGTGAGCGGCATATATAAATGTGCTTCAAATCTTATTTCATACTGTGTTGAAAAAATGGCGAAACGCCGCAAATATTTAACGAATGAAGAAATTCAAGCAATGCTTTTGGAATCTGATGAAAGTGAAAGTGGTGATAATGTTGAATTTGATGAAGATATTGATGACAGTGATGCTGATCCGGATTATATTCCTGATGATAGAATAGAGATTGATCCTGATTTAGTGATTGATTCCCCGATACAAGATATTAGGTGCAGTAGTGATATGGACAAAAGTAAGAAAAAGAAAGTTGAATTAAATGTTGAAAAGAAAAATAGAAAGACTACAAATATTGAAGATACAAATGAACAAGGACATATTATATTTCTGTATGCTGACTTACTTAGGAATAAATGGTTATGAGTGGTGTACGAAAATTAATGACACCACTAAACAGAAAACCAGCGCAAAAAATATAGTTCATATTAGACCAGGTCCAGTTGCTGAGGCTCGATTTGCTAAGGAACCAATTGATTGTTTTAATTTGTTTATTTCCGATGTAGTAAAGGAAGAAATACTTACTCACACAAACGCAGAGATAAACAGAAAGAAGATAGGTTATGTTCAATGCTACGGATGGTTCCCTAAATAATTTAAATTATGATGAACTGAATGCCTTGTTTGGAATATTAATACTTTCTGCAGCTTTAAAAGATAACCATTTGTCAACAAAAGTTATGTTTGATGTAACTTTTTCTGGTGGAAGGTATAGAGCAAAATTTTCTGAGAGACGCTTTTCATTTCTTTTGGATTACATAAAATTTGATGAAAAAGACACAAGGGAAGAGCGTAAAAAAAACTGATAAATTAGCTGCTATTCGCCAAATATGGGAAATTCTTATTGAAAATTGTAAAAAATATTACAAACCCAGTTCATACAGGACTATAGACGAGGAGTTGATTGGATTTCGGGGAAGGTGTCCTTTTCGCATGTACATTCCGTCAAACCCAACAAGTACGGGATAAAAGTGATAATGATATGCGACAACAGCACTAAATACATGATGAATGCGGTTCCATATTTAGGAAGCGGAAGTGTACCTAGAGGAATGGTTGCAGCAGACTATTTTGTAAACAAACTGACCGAAACTATCAAGAACAGTAACAGAAACGTAACAATGGACAATTGGTTCTCGAACGTGCCTCTTGCTGAAAAGATGCTAAAAGAAGACAAACTAACAGTGGTTGGCACGATAAAGAAAAATAAAAGGGAGTTTCCTCCGGAATTTACTGATGTAAAGTATCAAGAGCGAAAGAATGGTTCTAGTTTGTTTTTATTTCACGATGAAGTCACTGCAGTATCTTACAAAGCAAAGAAAAAACTTGTGACTTTAATATCAACGATGCATTCTAACTCAGAAGTTAACCAGTCAACCGGAAAACCAGAAATAGTTATGACATACAATTCTACAAAAGGTGGAGTTGACTGTTTTGATCAATTGTGTAATCATATGAACTGTGGCAGAAAAACCAAAAGATGGCCAATGGCTTTTTTCTATAATATTATAAATATAGCAGGAATAAATGCATACGTAATTTATCTGCATAATTTTTACAGAGATCGAACTGGAAATGGAATGCCATTATCAAGATTGAACTTCATGTTGAAACTTCATCAACAATTATGTGAAAAATGGCAACTTCAATGTCTAAATGTTCCAAATCTGTCAAGAGAATTGAAAGATATAATCACAAAAGCGTTAGGACAGGAACCACAGATTTTAGAACTTCCCCCAAATCAGCAAGGTCTTCGAACCTATTGCAGCTTTTGTGACTATAAAAAAAAGAGAATGACAACCACCTACTGCAAATGTGGAAAAGCTATATGTGGAGAGCACCAGATGAAGTCATGTCCTTCTTGTGTATAGACATAATTGTATTGGTAACTAATTATTATGTAAATTTATTTTTTAATTGTGTCAATTATATTAAATTTAAAAGGCGAACAACTTTTATTATAGTTTTTTTTTTTTTTTTTTTTTTTTTGTTGTTGTTTTCGTGGTTTCTAAGTCTATTATTAATTGATATTTTAATATGTGTTATTTAAAATAAAATGTGCTAAACTATATTTTATTTATATTTTATCTATCAGTATACATTTTTATAGTTTTCAATTATATTTTTAAATATAATTAATTATCAAGTTAATGAAAATTTAGTAATATTGGGTAAAACAGCAAATAAAAACATATTTAGAAACATCATTAATGTAATATAAGTAAAAAAATGAATTTTAAACGAGCACGTAAATTTTACGTATCGCTAGTGATAGCGGCATAGTGACGCTAGTGTTCTAGGGTTAAGTATGCATTAAATAACGTAATACACTTTACTATTAAGGAGGTATAACATTTGGAATATTAAATAAATAATTTAAAAAAAACATCTTAAAGTTTTCAAATTTTATATTACGCACAAAGGGGCGTTTTTTTAATATTTTTGTGTTACCTTTATTTATTAATTTTCATATTCTTCGCACTTAAACCATAAAATTCAATTTAAAAGAAATATCGCAAATTAATTTATAAAGAGAATATCTTTAGAATTTCCGATACATAGTCTCGCATGCTGGAGATAAAACTGTTTTCTTTTTCTGTGCAGTGTACTTTGGAATCGTTGATTTTCTTAATCAAAAATTCCTTAAATGTTTACGAAATATTAAATAGATACAACAATACCACATAGATATACAGAAATACCGCAAAATAATTTTAAAATGAGCATATACAACTTCGCGCGCTGGAGATAATATTTTACTTCCTTGAACGAAGTAAAAAGGAACTATTGTCATCGCGAAAAGTTTCAGGCAGCATATTTCAACGAAAATATCCATTTTGACCGCTATCGAATGCAATTTAACGATGTTTTTGCGTGATATCTGTACGTAAGGACAGAATAAAATACTCTTTTCCTCCAAAAAAGAAATATATATATATATATATAATATATATATATAAAACTGCTTTAAAATGAATTCTGAAGAGAATTTTTCGTGGCGTCTGTACGAACGTATGTACGTACGTATCTCCCATAACTTAGAAACGAGTAGCTTCAGAACGTTGAAATTTTGTATATAGGACTGCTATAACATGTAAATGTGCACCTCGTATACTGCTTGCAATCGGCCGCACCAAAATATATTTATATATATATCCCCTCTGTTATCCGGCTCAGTGATCTCAGTTTCTTTACTCTTATATGCTTGTAAATTGTACATGTTTTGCTTTAAAAAATGATTGAATTATGTTGTTCTTATCTTCCGGTTAAGGTTTTTATCCCTTAGTAAATCTGTATGCAATAATTTTAGAATTATCAGCAATTTTAAAGTTGTTTAAGTGCCGCTAAGCCTAATATATATATATATATATATATATTTTTGATAGCGGCCATTGCTTGTTTACATTTGAAACTGCAGGGTAGTCGATTTGTTGCCAATCTATAGAAACTTAGCTTCGCAACAACAAATATAACACCTTCATTTATTATTGCGAATTAAATCATGCTTAATACTTTCTGGAATTTTTTCGAGGAAATAAGTGATTAAGATTTACTTCGTAATTTTTAATACAAATATTTTGAGTTTCTATGTACTTTTCTTTTTTCGCGAAGTGAGAACTGAATTAATTGAATGAGAAATACTCAATCGTCTGTGAAAAACTGTTTCCGTTTTGTTTTGTTTGCTTAATTTCTTTTATACATCGAACTAGCTTTATTATAGTATTTGAATAGAACATGTGACAACGATTAGATAATTCTTCAAATGATATAAATTTTGTGCATTCTGAGTTATAATATGAACGACATATAATACTGTTAAGTGAACTTAGCGCCAGAGTGTCGCTATGGTAAACAAATAGAGTGAATTTTAAAGAATGCATTTATTCTATTGTGGTTTATGCGCTGTCGTAGAAGTAGATTTAATTCAATCCAGTAAGTTTAAATGAATGAAGGGAAAATGCATATAATTTAATATTCCGAACAAGAAAGTCAAGTGGTGTACACATCAGATTTTTTTGTTTTTGTTCCTCTGTACAATGTTGCCACTGCTTACTTTGAAATCGTTGAGTTTCTTAATCGAAAATCCGTTAAAGGTTTACAAAATATGAAATAGTTAAATAATAAAACAGATTCCGAATCTGGGGTTCCATATGCCCATATTCGAGTGGAGATGTGCACCTTGTATACTGCTTGCAATCCGCCGCACCAAAATATGTTTATATATATATCCCATACTCTCAAAATCTGATCGCTCTAACTACCATTGTTTTATCACAGTGCGGGAAACATACATGATGCAGATACTTCATTATTTAATTTCTTTAAATATAATGCAGGGCGATAATATTTGGTAGCAACAATTTCAAAAATGAAACGCCGTTTAAAGCGAAACGCCACAAAATACCAAAACGAAATTAATAGCCTTTTGGACTAATAATTAGTTCTGCTTGAGATGTATAATAATAATTAAATAATTAATGTCAGAAATATCAAATATATTACTTACAAAAAATTAGTGTAAAATTATATTAAAAGGTTTCGTTTCTCGAGGGATCAAATGCCATTCTTCTTTAAAAAAGTCTTTGCTTCTCAGTCTTTCATATTTTATATTACATTTATGGAGATGATTAAATGCAAGCAAATAATTTGTGTATGCGTATTAGCATTTAAACCAGATTTGCTTCCCTTTTATAAATTAGAGAAACATCATGTGATGCACTACGGTCTACTGAAGTTTATGAAACCACAGCAGCTACACCTCGGAAATTAATTTAAAATGAATGATTGATACAGCTTTAGAATTTCGTGTTTAAATCTGTTGTAATCATATTTCCCGACTTGCAGCTTTTCAGCAGAATTTTGGAACCTACCAACATGTCGTGACCATGACATTTAAACTATATTTAAACTGTCATAAAAGTAACGAGAAATATAAATTTGATTAATTTGAACATCTGGTAATTAACTTCTCCATTTTCATACTTTTATACTGGCAGTAAATATTCCGTTATTTCTGTAATTGGATATTTTATATTATCTACCAATTTATGGTTATCATTAATTATTACTCTAGTTTATAAATGCTTCACATTTAATGTTATTAAAGTATTGGTTGCTGGGAATATTCTGGTTGTCTCAGTAACTTAATATAAATATTTATTTTATACGAAACCAAAAGCAAACTTTAACGTAATCCACATAAATGAACATTTTTGATACGATCTGTGTAGCAATACACTGGACTGGAAGGGAAGCCAACAACCATATTCTCATATATGAAGAATTTGACTTCATTGATAAAGAAACATTTACCTTATATTACTCAGAGATCGAAAAATAATACAGTCTGTTATCGGAGGAATGAATCTACCAGAATCAAGGAAAACTTATCAGTCTAGCTCTGATAGTTTTTCGAAGGACATTTAAATTACATGAATTGCTTCCATCAGAAATGCTGTCATTACATGTATTATCTTATACTGTTGTATTTGTGAACATATTTGTAGTATGTTCTCTACCACTATCTGTAACTCAATCAGTAATTGTACATTAAGTAATGAAATTGTACTTAATGTACAATTACTTTTTAAAATATGAAATAGTTAGATAAAAAGAACAAATTCCAAATCTGGGCTTCCATATGCCCGTATTCGAGTGAGACGTACGTTATTGAAAATTTGATGGCTCTAACTACTATTGTTTTATCACAGTGCGGGAAACATACATGAATTTATGCAGATTCTTCATTATTTAATTTCCTTAAATATAATACAGGGCAATAATATTTGGTAGCAACAATTTCAAAAGTGAAACGCGAACGTTATAGCGAAACGCCGCGAAAGGCCAAAACGAAATTAATAGCCCTTCTGGGTAAACTTCCCCTTTGGCCTAAAATAGTGCAACTGCATCCGAAAACGGTCAAAAGGGATAATCTTTCTTTTCAAGTAAGATACCCAAAATTTTCGCGATTATAGCGATCCCCTTTATTTCTTGCAAGGAAGTATAAAATTCGAAATGAATTTCTATATTTACTGTTTCGAGAAGGTCGTTTAATCATCTTTAAATATGAATTTGAGATATTTAATCAGTAGTAGACGATCATATTTCAAAATAAATGTCAGAGTTTAAAATATATTTACAACTGCTTCCGTATATCATTCATCAGAATGACCTACTTTTCAGTAAAATCAATCTTGATATAGTGTACCATAATAAAATGCTCACACGGTTCGAAGAATTTTTGAGACAGAAAAAATTATAATATTTTATTAAAGAAAAAAGGGAGAGAGATTAGTTTTTAAATTCATTTCTTGCAAAAATTATAGCATTAGCATTAAAATTTTGAAATGAAGCTTTAATGTACTTCCAAAATCTATTTCTCAGGTTAATGATTTCTGCATATGTTCAAACATTCCTCTGTATGAACTAATAAAATCGTCATCCTTTCAAAATAACTTATAATTTAAAAAGATAAAGTTTAAACATAACAGTTGAGAACCTAAGTATTTTTTTTTAATTTTAGTTTTGCTACAAATTAACTTAGTTCACTGAGGTAGTAATATATACTCTTGTTATGTAGTAATAAACATGCTTGTTATTAAGACACAATAATACGCCGAATAAGTACTAATTCAGAAGTCAAACAACAAAAATTTTCGGTTTTGCAGCTGAGGATGGTGGTTCGGTAAAACCATCGAAACTAGTCCTGTGAAAATTTTGAAAATTAACGCTGATTTTTGTTGTTTGACTTCTGAATAATTGCGTGTTATTGTTGTAGTAAATATGCCGTTGTTTCTTCACAATGCGAGACACAATCATGCATTCATGCAGATTCTTCCTTATTTAGTTTCTTTAAATATAATATATAAAG